ACTTCTGTTTGTAAAAATATCTTTATTCTTTCTTACATCAATTGTTTCTTGGTTGCAATCATTCTTCCTCAACATTTTCAAGCGTTTCTCATCATTTTCTAGCTTATAATGTTACTATAGGAAGTTCTGGATAATAGTCTGTTTTTGACCCTTTATATAAAACTTGTTTTTTCCTCTCTGAAAGTGTTTAGATCGCCTTTCTTTTTCTTCTGTGACTTGAAACTTTGCAATGATGTGTCTAACTGTGGATCTATTTTCATCCAACCTACTGAGTATTTTAATCCACCCTGAGTTTCAATAAACTCATGTCACTTAATGATCGACATTTTTGTCTATGATTTCTTTAGATATTCTTCCTTCTGCTTCTTTCTGCAAATTCTATTTAAATTCTGAAATTATTGGTCTTGTCCTCTAATTCGCTTCTCTTTCCTAATTTATACCTTTTTTTAAAATTCTACATTCTAGGTCATTTCCTCAACTTTTTCTTCTAACCCTTCTATTGAGGAATTTTATTTATGCTATTTTTAATTTCAAAGATATCTTTTTGTTGTCTGCATATGCCTTATTATAGCATTCATTTTATAGAAGCAATATACTGTTTGAGGATAACATTGATTTTCCCTTAATTGTTCTTCTTTCTAGCTGAGCTAATAGCACAGGACTCAAGACAACCCACCACACTGCTTCACTCTGCCTTTTTTTTTTTTTTTTTTTTTTTTGCCTCTTCATTGAATACTGGAAGCTTTTGTAAAGTGCCTAATTATTCTTAATTATTTACTTATATTTAAGACTGTGGCATTAAAACCTGACTGAATAGTCTGCATATGAGGTGGGTGGCTTCCTTATAGGGTGATGGTTTGGAAGAACAATTCATTAACAAACACTCAATGTTGTCTTCAGTATTCTTTTCTTTTCTTTTCTTTCTTTCTTTCTTTCTATTTTTTTATTTTTATTTTTTGAGTTTGGTCTCACTTCATCACCCAGGCTGGAATGCAGTGTCATGCTCACGGCCACCCCAGCATGGACCTGTTGGGCTCTGGCGATCCTTCCGCTTCAGCCTTCCAAGTAGCTGGAACTACAGGTGTGCACTACCACAATTGGCTAATTTTTGATATATTGTAGGGATGAGGTCTCACTATGTTGCCCAGGCTGGTCTTGAACCCACAGGTTCAGGCAGTCCTCTCACCTCGACCTCCCAAAGTGCTGGGATTACAGGCTTGAGCCACTGTGCCTGGCAGTATTTTCTCCTGATGTCATCAGATTCTCCAGGGATACCTGTTCAGACTTTTACCTAAAAAAAGATAAGACTTGCAGCTAGTGTTATAGGTTAACTTTCACTAAACCCCTTGTATTCAGAATGGTCAGATCTCTCTTAACTGATCCTAGTGTCTCAGTCTCAATCTCCTACCTTTTTCCACACCTCCATATAATCTAGTGCTAGGATAGAGGAACGGACATTTTCTTGGCTACTTGAGGTTAGGAAGGAATCTGAGGACCTTCCTGCTTGCTAAATTAAATTTGAACAAACTATACTATTCAGTCTCATATTCACACCCACTTCTTAAGGTACCTGGTAGTGCCAAGTCTTTAATCTCTTGGGAGAGCCGGGTTTGGTGGCTCAGCCTGTAATCCTGCGCCTTTGGGAGGCTGAGGTGAGTGGATTGCCTGAGCCCGCGGGTTCGAGACCTGCCTGGGCAACTTGGCAAGACTTCATCTCTACAATAAGTCAAAAACTAGCCAGGCGTGGTAGCGTACGCCTGTAGTTCCAGCTACTTGGAAGGCTGAGACGGAAGGATCGCCAGAGTCCAGCAGGTCGAGGCTGCGGTGGCAAGGAACAGCCACTGCACTCCAGTCTGGGCAACAGAGTGAGACTCCAACTCAAAAAAATAAAAATAAAAAGATATCTTGGGAGATCTTAAAGTGTAAAGAAGGTTTCTTCTTGGCTTTTTCCACTTCTGGGATAATATTTAACTTTCTTAGGTCTTCTAAGTCAGTTAACACTCATCCCACCTGATTTCCAAAATTCTGTTGCTGTTATCTTTTCTTTCACTCTCTATCCTTGGGAGTTGATGTCTGAGGCCGCCAGTAATCCTTTCTTCCTGGAGTTCATATCTTTTGAAATCCTTACTCCTTGACTTTGACTAGACCCTGTGACTTGCTTCTAATCAGTAGAATATGGCAAAAGTTATGAGATGGCCGTCTTCTCTGCATTACACAAGACTCTGCATTACCCTGCATTACACAAGACTCTGTCTTAAAGCAGACTGCCATTAGATATTCTCCTTGCAGGCTTAATGATGTAAGTGGTTAAGTTGGAGGCACCCATGTGGCAAGGGCATATAGGTGGCCTCTAGGGTCTGAGGGTAGCCTCTGGCCAATAGTCAGCAAAAAGCCTCCATTCTCACTTCCACAACTGCAAGGATATGAATTCTGCCAACAACCTGAATGATTTATAAGTGGATTGTTCCCTGTTTTTGCTTCCAGATGAAAACAGTCCATCCAACAGCTTTGTGTGGTCCTGAGCAGAGGACCAGCTAAGCTGTGCCTGGACTCTTCACCCATGAACACTCTGAGATAATAAATGTGTGTTGCTTTAAGCTACTAAATTTGTGGCAATTTTTTACACAGCAATAGAAAACTATATTGATAAAAATAGAATAAATGATTACAATGGAAAACACAGAAATACAAAATGATAACAATGCCTTTCTCTTTTTTATTATTTTATTTTTGCTTTGGGAACATCCTGAAGTGAATGTTTGTGCAATCAACAGGTTAGACAAGCATGACACATGGTATGTGATCAAACATACTTTTATTTTTATTTTTTGTCTTTCATCATACTTATAAAATGTATTCAGTAGAAGGTTTTCCTTTGCATCAGAAATACTCCAGTTATACTCTAACATACCCAGGTAATAGCATCATTTGGGCCTTTTTGATAGTTAAGTAATTAGGATGCTCAGTTAATAATAAGAAACTACATTAAATTTTTCATCACTCCTTCCTCCCCGCCATCTGAGTCCTGCTTTGGGTTGGCTACTTGCACTAGCATATCATTCCTTGCTGGCTGACTTTCTTGCTTAGTTTTTCTTTCTCTCTTTCCACCTCACATTGGGCACTAAGGTTTATGACACCCCCTTCTTCCAGGTCCCAGGAAAGAGAGATCTGTCTTATGAGATATAGTCACCTTCATATGGTGTCAGGGATCTCTGGAAGATAACTGGATATAGTGAGGGAAAGAGAATTTAAGAACTTCCATAGAAACTCCCATAGCCCTGACCTTTCCCTGTGCAGATTCTTCTGTATATCAGGTGGTCACTTGTGAGTACTTCCTAATCCCACAATCTGGCTTCACCTCTCACTTCTTGATGCTGGGATTCCTCTACTTCTTTGAATGGCCTGATCAGGCAAGACCCAAGACAACCCCTTGCTGGCTCTCTCTCTCTTGCATGTCTCACCATGGTCCATGGGAAACACACACATCCTTTGCCCTGACAAGCACTAGGCATGCAGGCTAGTCTCAACATTGAGCCCGTTCAGGACTCTACCACAGGGCATGGTGCCAGGCAAGAATCAGAGCCCGCTCAGTCATGCACCCTAATTGCTGTGGTCCCGTAGAAAACTATCTGAGAAATCTGTCACTAAATTGGAGGTCAGGAGGTGGGCATCCCTCCTTCTCTTCCTTTTGGGGGTAGGTGGAGTGAGAAGGTTCATGGAGTAACTTTCTCTAAGGAAGTCCTTCTCATAAAATTATCTTCTGACTTTTGTATTTCTTTGTAGGGTATAGAAACTTCTAAAGGTCCTCAGTCATTTTCTTTGGATATCTCGCTTTGGTATTTCAAATGTGATGCATCTTGGTGTCTTGTGGAACCTAAACCTTGAATTTTCCCTATGCATGCCAGTTTAGTCCACCACTATTAACTAGAAATTCCCATGCTCTCTTTATTTGCATATCATAAAGACCCTTCATATTGGGAGGTTAGCAGATTCTCTTAATACTCTGCAACTCTCAAAACAGCAAGGATGAAACCAAGGGCTTAGTTCTCCTGGGCACTGTTTCAGGGCTGAAACTCAGGTGAGTGAAAAGTGATGGAAGTATGGAAGGGAAGTGTTTCACATAGTATCCATTCACCTGCTGCTCTATATCCCATTCAAAAGAGGCACTGGCTATACACAAAAATAACTTCCAAAAGGTACCTACAGTATATCGTGAAAGAAAATCAGGATGTTTTGAGGTAACTTCATAGGAAGCTGACAAATTCACCTTCAATTTCTCTCTTACATAGATAAAATTTGGAGAGTAGTGAACCATGTATCTAACCTCATAAAGGATTGTAGGTAATTTTCAAGACTTTTGTGGAGCTGTAGAAATGAAATAGGAGTCAAAAGTCATTTTTTAAAAAAATTCCCAATTCTCCTTTACTGGCTTCACCATCTTTGGCAAGTCGCGTCACTTCTTTGTTCCCCCATGTCCTCATCTCGGCACTAGGTCTGCCTGGACACTTCACCTTGCAGGATTGAGCACCAGGTGAAAGTGCCTTGTAAACTGAAAAATACCACATTATGTATCAGATACTTCCTGGTAGATGGCTGCAAAGATATCTGAAATGGAAGTTCTCATTTTATTTTTGATGAACTTTCAAATTTAAGTGACTAAACCTAAAAAGCAAAAACAAGCATAAAATCCAACTGGAAAATTTGGAAGGGAAATACTTTTTCTCTAGAAAATGTGTACCAATGACCTTTTGGTAAGAAAGTGAACATGGCTCATTAATTTATCTAAAGCTATTTTGTAAAGTATTCTTACTCCAATCCAGATGGTTGAAAATGTCACGTGAATGATATTTTATGAAGAAAGAAATTCTATTTTGCAGTCATGAGAGAAAGGTATGAGTGGCACAATTTCCAATAAAACCTGCTCTTCTGCATTATGGAGCAATCAAACCATGTGGAAATAAATCTTCTTTTTGTTTAATTGAAGATAAAGGATGTAGTGATGAAGCTGCTGAGACCTCCTTGGTGTATTCCCAGACTCCTAAATCAGGAAATTCCATCTAATACTGAGCATAATTTCTTCACTGACATTTAGCTCTAAATGTCAAGTTGTTCCATTTTTTTCCTCGGTTTTATGGTTCCTGGCCTTATTCAGTTGATAAAAAGTGAGTTAGCCTGATGTTGTTAGAGGATTCTCCAGTTTGAGAAAAAGCATAACTGCCTGGGGAGGGGGAGAAGAGGATAAGAATTATTGCTACTATGTTGGAATCAAGCATGATACCAAAATGAAAATAGGCCTGTAGAACTTCTTACAACTGGGATCAGTTTTAGGAAGATGCTAGGAAAAGATTTAAAATGTGGTTGATGAAAAACATTTCTCTGATGTCCTAGAAGTTTTCATTTGTCAGACATCGCTCATTTGAGAGAAGGACCGTGCTTTCTGGATATTGCTGGGAAATAAGATGAAACAGATTTGAGATCACAGCATGTTATTGCTGGGAGGAACCTCAGTGATCTCTTAGGTTTTCATTTTATCGATGCCCAAAAAGGTAAAGAGCCTTGTAAAAAAAACACTCAGGTTGGCAGGTGGCCAAGTGTCCCAAGAAGAGAAGAGCACATTCTCTAGACACTTGAACTTTATCTGGAATTTAAATAATTTTGATGGGACTCTAAAATGTATTGTCCATTTTCCTGCCATAATGATGACATTAACATAATTGTGAACCAGAACTTGAGCTCTTAAGGTTTAATTCCAATTTAACCTGCAAGGAAATGTCTCCTTCTCCGCTCCCAGACTCCATTCTTCTCCAAATATACTGGGACTATTTGCAGTGTTTAAACACTGGTCTTCTAGTCACTGAATATCACAGGCTTTAATAACCACCAATTTATGAACCTAGAGTCAATTCATGCCATAGGTGGAGGTGACAGTGCTCATTCATCCCTAACAGGTGTGATTCCTCCCACCCTTGGAACATTTTAGGGAAGATATGGGCAGAGTTTGAGCACAAGCATCTGGACCCTTCCCCCTGTTCAGCAGCTGGTACAAGAGGGTGATTCTCCAGTAAGGACACAACTGGTATTAGAATAACCACACTCCTCCCTGTGGCCTCAGCGATCAATACCACAGATTTTTATCAAGTCTCAATGGGAAAATAGAGAAAATTTGTGTCATGAAATTGCATGATATTTTCTCGTCACCATGAGCATTAAGTCTCAACAATGTTCTATCATCCCTAAGCACAATCCAGGTGAACTCTGGACACGTAGTAGGATGATACTCCCTCACATTACTCACATAATATTGTTTTTTAAAGTTGCCACTGAATTTTCTTCATATAATGTATTCACAGTCTTCCTCACACATTTTATGACCTTTGGTTTTATTATAACTCACCTTTGTTTTGCAGTGGGTTGCAAGGCTTTGAGAATTTGAGTTTGGCAGATAAATCTGATGAATTTTGCTGCACAAAAGAAAAACAAGTCATTTGGATATCCATGTTACTCTTTCAGTGATAGCCTGTATTTCCTGACTTCTTTTTTGTTTGTTTGTTTGTTTGTTTGTTTTTTGAGTTGGAGTCTCACTCTGTTGCCCAGACTGGAGTGCAGTGGCCGCTCCCGGCCGCCGCAGCCTCGGCTGCTGGGCTCTGGCGATACTTCCGCCTCAGCCTTCCGAGTAGCTGGAATTACAGGCATGCGCCACCACGCCTGGCTGATTTTTTTATTTATTGTAGAGATGAGGTCTCGCTGCCCAGGTGGGTCTCGAACCCGTGGACTCAGGCAATTCACTCACCTCAGCCTCCCAAAGGCGTGGGATTACAGGCTGAGCCACCGAGCCCGGCATTTCCTGACTTCTTGATGTCACTGACAATCCTTTATCTATCTATACAATGTGTCATTCCCGTTTTGAGAATTTAGAGTAGTTACTGCCTCACTTTTTCTTCTGCTTTAATCTATTGAAATGCCTAAGAATTTATTTCTGAGTAAAATTTATGTTCCTATATATTTTTACAACTTCTAACAACAAACAAGAAAATTGTGTTAAAAGAGATATCCCTTTTTGTATCCATGCTTACACTTCTTTGGTTCACACATTTATCACTAGAAGAGAAACCCATGGAAGAAAAATAATACTCCTACTAAAAATGGTCTCCAGTAAAGCTTTGCCCTACTCTCGTTCATGTTAGCATTCAAATCTTTTTCTGAATAATCCTTTGGTCATTGGTGCAGAGATTATATAGAATTCAATAATTTAAAAACTAAACTATCAAACTAAAGTAAAATATTTAAAACAGAGAGCAAGCACTGGATAGTACTGACAGATAAAAGTGTTTAGACTGCTGGGTTTGGTGGCTCATGCTTGTAATCCCAGCACTTTGGGAGGCGGAAGCGAGAGGATTGCCTGAGTCCAGGGGTTCAAGACCAGTCTGAGCAACTTGGCAAGACCTTGTCTCTACAATGAATCAAAAAATTAGCCGGGCATGGTGGCATGTGTCTGTGGTGCCAATTACTTGGAAGGCTGAGGTGGCAGGATCACCTGAGCCCAGCAGGTCAAGGCTGCAGTGGCCGTGAGTATGCCACTGCACTCCAGCCTGGGCAACAGAGTGAGACTTCAACTCAAAAAAAAAAGTTTAGTTAAGTTATATCCTTTTCTATTCATCTATTCTTCACTTTTTCATCATCTCATTTATCATCTCATATTGAGCGCCTTTGTGTTCCAGGTATTGTTTTAGGCACAGGGAATATTGGAAGAAATAAGTTCCATTCCCTGCTACAGTCCATGTCATGAGGAAGCCAAATCAAGGTGAGATACACAGGTTCTTGTTGTATACAACAGGTAGACCTGTGATCGTTTCCCAGTTTTCACCAAGATACATAAGTGGTTACACACATTAGCTCACATTGAATTCCAGAAAAAAAAGTTACAGAGATAGAAATAAAAATATCTGAAAATTTTAAAGCAAAAGAATTGATTTTCTGTAATTCAGGGCTCAACAACCTTACAAGCATATAATGTTATACGTCCAAAAGAAAATCATAAGGCCAAGATCATTTGGAAGGAGGAATCTTAGTTGCAACACACTCAGGAGGCTGATGTAGTCTGAGAAGAAGCAGCCTCTTCAGTCATGTAAATGTTTATGGGTCTAAGCAGTGGGTCAAATAACAAGCTCAGTAGTCATTGGATCTCAGGTGTCACCCTATCTAATCCCTGTGAAGAGGACTCTGTAGAGGCCACCAGAGTCTGTCTCTTGGTGAAGAGTTACACAGAACATGACTAGGGACAATGAAGGGTTAAGAAAGGGGCCCTGAACCCTCAATGTAAAGAAGATGTTGGGTCCACAAGGTGTTTTGGAGGCTTGAGGAGTGGTTCCTGCTGAGATTATTGCTGGCTTCCTCTTTCATCCCCTTTAGCCAACTATCATATTTTCATTGTTCTTTTCTAGATCCCTGCTGCACCATTCCTCTTGCCATCTCTCAGGGGATAACTTTGTCCCCTACTTAAGAAATAAAAAAGCATCAAGGTCTGAACTCCTAACATCATGGCCCCAATCTGTACATGGTGCTCATTCTGCATTAGTCTGGTACTTCCTGTGTCTAGAGAAGGAGTTTATCCCTCCATCTTCAGTCTGGCCACTCACTCTGTCTTCTCAGGGGTCCTCTTCTGTCCATTATCCTCCCTCTCTCCTCTGTTTTCAGACTCTGTCTTTGGTGTCTCATCTCTCCCTACATACGGTCTTGTCACATCTTTGCAACTTCAACTCCAGCCTGTCAGTACCGTCCAGTGTTTGCATCTGGTTACCATCATACTCTCTTTCCACTCACAAGCAAGATTCTTGGCAGGAATATTCACACCAAGTGTTCTCTCTTTCTCACCTTCTCATCATCTGTACTCTGAGTTCCTGCTTTTTTATTCAAATTCTTTCAGGAAGAGGTAAATATGCATCTTTTCTTCTGAAAAATGTATATTTATTTTAAAACAAATAAGCCACCTAATCAGGTAACAAAATCTCATTTGTATCACCCAACCTGGAAACAAAATTGAGGAAAGGTCATAAATCCAGAAGCAGCCCAGCCCTCACTGAATGCTGCTGCCTTCTGAAAAGTGTCCGCCCTTGGCACTGCAAACAGTGAGAAACTGTCAGGCAACTTTTGCTTTTGCTTTTGTTTTTTCTTACTTTTGGGTGTTTTTCTCTCTTTGGTTTTCAAATGAGAAAAATTCTGACTTCCTGCTTTGTAGGGTGGGGAATGTCCTGTCTTGTTATATTCACTAAAGACTTTTCTTTGATGTGGTCACATGTGTTGTAACTTCCTCCTTTTCTTAAGAGTAGATAATGACTCATTCATTTCACATTTTCTGGATCAAGAGATTTTAGTTTTTCAAGACATAAAATCAAAATCACAGAATGTTAGAACTTCTTCTGTGAGTAATCCAACATTTAATTTTTACAGTAGAGAAAACTAAAACTCAGAGACGAAGTGACCTTAGATTACACAGCCAATTGGTTATGGAGTCAGAAATACAGAATAGGTCTGTCAGCCCATGGGCCACTGCTCTCTAATTCACAGCAGTGCCTTCTACCATGATGTGCAGACCAAGAAGATCTTTTAATGCCAGAGAATAATTGTTTCACTGATTTTTATTTCATAAAGTTATATTGTCTTATGAAAATCTCTGAACACCCATACAGATTTGGATACAGTTAAGTCAATCGACTGTCATCAAATACAGAAATCTCTTGTTTTAGAACCTCTTCTGAGAGGCCCTCAGTGCTTTGCTAGAAAACCAAAGTCTAAATGGACATGAAAAATACAAAATATGTATGCAAGTACTTTTGTTTCTAACTATACTATCCTCATATGGGTCAGACTTTTATGGCACAGAATAAAATGGGAATCTTCTATTTCCACAGAAACTTGTCAGTTTGTAGACTTAAGAGCTAAAATTGTAAGGAACAGAGTCAGTGATACAAGCTTAAGAGAGAAAATTTCAAGAGAGCATATTATATTTTAGAAGTTAATCAAATGTATATATGAGAAGTTCGTCAAGCTTTTTAAAGGGAAAATAGTCTACAGACAGTCCAGAAAGTCAGATGGAGGAAAGGGTCTTACTAATTCTAGATATTGGCAGGCAAGTCGGACTAAAACAAATGCTAATTGTCAAAGATATTTACTTACAACAAGCACTCCCAGACCTCCACGCTTGAGCATCCTGATTGGTTTCCATGCCTTCACATCTATTCATTCACTGTCTTACCCTGTCACTCAACAACTTTTTATTGAGTATTGACTATGTGCTAGGCACCATGCCAGATGCCAGGAATACAATGGTGATAGAAATTCAAGGGGTCACACAGAAGTAGACTTGCTGCAAGATTGTATAAAGAGAAACATGTAAAACTGGAACTTCATGCATCAGGTTGATGGCAGTGAGAAACAATTACCTTTGATGTTTGCTTCCAAGAACTCAAGAGAGACAACTTGTTGAACAGAAATTGTCGCAGCTATAAGAGCAACAAAGAAATATTGATGTGATAATACATACACAATCCTATACAGACAAATCAAGAACAAAATGGCAAGTTGAAATTGTTATTTAATAGTATTGTTTCCTAGAAGCACTTGTAGACCACAAATGGATATCTGATAGTAAGATTATTGTCTTTGCCTCTTCACCTACAAACAAAATGAATTAATTGAAGAACAACAACACCAAAAGCCATAATAATCCAGATTCTAGACATTAGTAGTTGGCAATAATTACTAAATTGAAATTTATCTTTGAAGTGAGAGGTTTCCTAACCATGTGAATAGTACAAATAAGGCAGTTATTTAGTACAATTAAGAATACCACATTGCTTCTTAGGAAATAGGGATTTTTTTATTCAGGTGCAAAATTGTTGCTATAATTAGCAACAATTGTACTAATTAAAACAAAGACTACATCTATTAGCTTACTGTCTTCACTTCTCTCAACAGAATCGATCAATGCTTGGGTTTATGAAACAAGTTTACTTAGCATTTTTTTCTATTATCTTTCACTTAAATTTGTTTTTAGGAATTTTATTTACCATATGGGCTATTTAATATTTTTTATGTAAAACCCTGCAAATATAGAAGTAGCTATATCTTTCAGCATATTCTCAGGAAATGAGTAAAATAATTAAAGGAACAAAAGGGAATTCACTCCCTTTGGAAAGTAATTTTGCTGTTGAATTATTGCCATATCAAAATCGAAATCAGAAAAATTAAAAGTAAAAAGAATTTCACTTTTTTCTATAATGCTTATGTTATATGTTTGATTAGTTTTCCATACCTTTTCAACAATGCTTAGTTCTTTTGTCTCCTGACTGAGCCTGCCTTTTGTAAAGTTATAAAATTTTATCGCAAAAATATTCATAGTCTGCCTTCTTACTATTTGAATACAGGCCTTAGCACAAAGGAGAGGTATTTAACGATACCTGAGTTAGGGGATAAAGACAGAAATAAATGCACATACCTTGCTATCCAAGAGTATTCCAAAACATAAGATGAAAAGCCCCTTTAAAAAAGGAATAAATAACATGTATTTTTACTTTCCAGAAAAGAAAGCATCAATATGTAATACTACTGTATCATCCAACATTGAAATTATTTTCTTGTCTGTCTCCCTACTAGACTGTGGGCTTCTTGAAGACAAGAACTCCATGTGACCTCCACTGTGCATGGCATAACACAAAGTACTCCAAAAAGTGTTTCTGAATATATAAATAAATGATTGAGTGAATGAAGTTTTGAATGTGATGCTTCATTCTCCCATATTATACCATCCCAACCCAGAACAAGTAGCTTCCTTTTGCTTCTGTATCTTGGTTTTTCTTTAGACCAGGCATAATGTCTACTAAACATTTAGGATGGCAGCAGGAATTGAAGTACAACCCTACAGCCAAGTGGAGGAGCATGACCCATATCAGCACCCTCTCCTCCAGTGCAGCTCTTGGAGAATCCTTGGTAAATGCTTTCTTGGACCTTGAAAACCTCCTCCCTCCAGCCAGAGCACCTTCAGTTGATACCTGTTCACAATGCATATCACCATGAGCCTATCCTTCCACTTCCTAACAGAAGCATCCTAAACCTGTCACTGTTAGGTTCATGCTCTCCATGACTGCCATCTGTACTGCCACCTGAACATCACCAGATGCTAAGTAGGTAGCAAATCACTGCTTTTAGAAAACATTTATTAAAAACGATTGGCAGTAGTGGGAAACTGCCAGGGTGGATGGGCGAAGTGGGGAAGTGGGATTGGCAGTAGTTGGAATCTGCCAGGCAGGGGGGAGCACGCCTCATCAACAAGGGTACCTGCATAATGAACATTTGCACACCTAATCTTGAATTGTACCCCACATCTTTAAAATAAAAAAGAAGACACTTATTGGGCATTTGCTATGTAATTTAGTAGTAGACCAAGAGCTAAATTATCTCATTTAGTTCTCACATTTATTTTATAAGTATTATTATTATCTCCATGTAAAAGATGAGAGGATTGAGAGGTAGAGAGATTAAGCAATTTGTTAGAGGCCTTGCAGTTGGCAAAGTGACATATTTGAGTCCAGGCCTATTTAACCCCATAGTTCATACATTTAACTACTTCTTCTCTGAGTCATCTGAGATGCAAAACCTCCTACAAAACCTTCATTGACTCAGGATTGAAGGATGTCTTCAAGATTCATCAAAACCTGAAGATTACTTGGTCTACCTACTCTCTGAACACTCTGACTGTGGTATGTAAAACCCATTCTTTTGGCAGGGATCCACAAACTTTTTCTGTAAAGAGCCAGATAGTAAGTATTTTAGGCTCTGCAGACAATACAGTCTCCGTTGCAGCTACTTAACTCACCATTGTTGTGAAAGCAGTCATAGACCATGTGTACATGAATAAGCATGGCTGGATTCCAATAAAGCTTTATTTACAAAAGCAGTCTGCTGGACATAGTTTGCCAGCCTCTGCTCTACTGTATTCTAGAAACTGCCTTTGTACTGTTCAGTCAACAACTATTTATGATTCATTTCATTTTGCTTGTGTGCTTTCTCAGAGGTCTCCATGAGAGAAAGAGGACTGAGTCAGCAGCAAGCGGGATTAACTTTAGCTATGCAAGCTCTAACAGATTTGAAACCCTGAAATGGATTACCCAAGAAGTCCAGTATTCTGCTCTAATATAACAGTAACTGTTGGAAAAAATTGATTTTTTTTTCCTATTTACTGTTTCTGTGCAGTTTTAACTACTGGAAACAGGGAAATGAAATCATCTCCAGAGTGGACTTACCAACCTGAGTTCTCTATATTTATTCCAGTTACCTGATAGCGTGATAGGTTATTCTTATTGCTCTCACCTGGAATGCATTGAGTAGGGCAAAAATAACATGCCACACCAGATTCTGACTGTCCACCATTGTGCCTATACCAAAGCCCCAGGTAAGACCCAGCAGAGGGGTCAGAATGAGGAGGCTCTTTCCCATGCGGACGATAGTGGCCTTGTCATCCCGGGTCAGTGTTTCTCCAACAGCTGGTCGCCAGAGCTTCATGAGAACTAGCAGCACCACGATAAGATTCACAGCCACAATAGTCAGTGCAGGGACAACAAAAGCCAAGAGAGGTTTGCTCCCACTGGACCAGTTAAGCCAACACACACCTTTCCTTTTGTAGCTATTGCTGGGTTGTGTGACTGCAATGGTAATGACAGATATAATGAGAGGGCACCCATAGCCCAGGCAGAACCCGACAGCCATCATCAAAGGCCGGGTCATGTGGTGGAACACTAGAATGATCCGATAGGCCAGCAGGATACCAAGCGTCAACATCCAGAAGAACAAAGAGAGGTAGAATAAGTGTGTAAAGAACACAGCAGCTATGCAGACCCCAGGAGGGTCTACCGTGGTGTCCACAGTGGCACCAACAATAAACCAAACATCAGCAATCAAGAGGGACAGGGCTATGTTCACCATGCAGATATGACGTGTGTGTGAGGTTTGGCTTTTCCTGATCTGCTTCCATAACAGAGCCTCGACGATCAGGCATAAGATGAGACTTCCAGTGGAGATACCCAGTCCTACATAAGTGATCCATTTCACAACTGGGATGATCGGAGGGGGGACAAAGGGTGACATCAGCATGGAAAAGGAGGTCAGGTGAGTGCATCGGCACATCACAGTGTCTGGAGTTTCACTCACTAGGTGACAGCCTGCATTGTTCCACTGCAAATGACTGAAATCCCAAAACACACAACGAGGCTGGCTCAGGTTTGACTCTATCTTGGAAAAATTCAGGAAGATTTCATTTATAGAATAGTTTTGGATAACCGTGGATATCACGGGCCCATTGACCCAAACATTTTCATTTTTGGAAATAGGTAGAATGTTCCCCAGAGTCAAAGAAGCCATGCTGACAATAGTTTCTGGAAGAGAACTCTGGAATTGGTCTGACCCAATTAACACACGGCCTCTGATGGGAATAGAGGTATTTGGGGGGACCATTTCAATCTGATAGTTGTAGCCCTCTTGGGGTTGGCTTTCAGTCATGGGAATCCCTTTCCAGTTAATGAATTTCCGTGAAAAATTCACAGGCAGAGCTGTTGGAGGCACCAGAATGCTGATGTTTTCCAATGACTCCAGCAACCGTGAGCTGGCGTGCTGTTCTTCCTGCAGTAAGACAGTCCAATTGGCTACTGAAGCTGAATCGAGGATATGGTCAGCTATATTGATGACATCCTAAAATATAAGGAAATTCAGTTTATATTTTGAGTAAACAAATAAGAGAACTAGGAGTAGATGATCATTAGTATTAAGTATAGGAAAAATGCTCAGTCACGAACCATATTAAAACTCATCAGTTACATTCAGGTCAGCTGCTCTGCACAGTAGAAGCTTTGGGCAAAAAATGCTTGGGTCAGGAGAATCATGTAAGTTGCAGGGGGATCACCCAAGGCATTGTAAGCACCTGGGGCTTCATCATGGATGAGAGAGCACCCTGCAGTTGGGGCTGCACCAGTGTGCATTTTCTTCTCCCTAAGATGTCAGAAATGATTGCACTGCTTCTTGGGCTGAGGCTCAAAGATGGAGACCTGACTTTGAACTGCTTTCCCATATTATGCTTGTTTTTCTAACACTAGAAGTTCTAAACTCACATCATGGATGTTCAAGTTTTTATGACTTTTGTTTACTACAGGAGAATATAAAGCAAACAAAATTTAAACCTGGACCCAAAGCAACAAAGAATTATTGAACTGTTGAGCATTTTAAGGGTCAGTCTTAGTCTGAAAGAGTCCTTTCCCAAGCAATTCTTTGAAAGTTGCTATTCTTGCCCACTAAACCCACAAAACTTGCTTAGGGGTCTGGTGCCAAGCATCTGTCACTCCATCTGAGTCTTGCCGTAACCCAGCCCTCTGTGGCTTCTAGCCCAGAATCCCATAGTGCTCGGCTTCTGCTGCCCCCAGGAGCCTCTGTTTATTCTGCATTGTGTTTATCTGTTTTGTTTTCACCTTCATTTTATTTTTAGCCTTTTTGTATCATTTTGTTTTAGTTGGTCTCCTGTAAGCAACATGTGGTCAGGTTAAAAAAAAATAATCGGAATATCTTTTCTTTAACTTAGGGAGTTTAACTTATTCATAGTTAGTGTCATTTTTGATATAATGTTCGCCATATATAGTTAAGTATAGCTGTGCAATTATGTAATATGTATGTTAGAAAATCCAATTTTGTAACATATTCTATCCTTTAACATATAAAAATGCAGATCAGGGGCAGTGGCTAAGGCCTGTAATCCCAGCACTTTGGGAGGCCGAGGCAAGAGGATTGCCTGAACTCAGGGGTTCAAGACCAGCCTGGGCAACTTGGCGAGATCTCATCTCTACAATAAATCAAAAAATTAACTGGGCATAGTAGTGTGTGCCTGTAGTTCCAGATACTTAAAAGGCTGAGGCTGAAGGATCGCCTTAGCCCAACAGGTCAAGGCTGAGGTGGCTGTGAGCATGCCACTGCACTTCAGCCTGGGCAACAGAGTGAGACTCCAATGCCACTCCCCCTCCCCCCCAAAAATGCATACGTCCAAAATATTTGGAAGGATATTTATTGAACAAGTATTTACTGAGTAGCTGCTATGTATTGCTTGTCATTGTCTTAGACACTGAGGTGATATCTCATATGGAAACAGTGGCTATTTTAGGGTACCCAGATTACAGATCATTTATTTTTCTTTTTGCTTATTTGCATTTCTTATAGAGATGAAGCATCATTTGTGCAATTTTCAAGTTGACTTTTTAAAATATCCAAACTAAACCAGAAATTTCTCAGTTAGGAGAAGGGAATTCTTAAAATATACACTGCTAAAGTCAGAGTTTATGGCCATAGGAAAGAGCAGTCATAGACAGCACATACATTGAAAAGTTGGTGCCTATGTCATATAATGCAAAGCTCATCCCTTCCTCTAAGCCCGGTACTGCCCAGACAGCCTGCCCAGAGGCAGCTCCCTCTTCCTTTGAACTCACACCTTTGATACCACAAGGTATATACAGAAAAAACAGTAATGCTCACATGAGGACTGTTAAGTGGCTTTTTGGTCTTTTCCAATAATTCCCTACTATTCAGGTTTTTGTCATTCCTACAAGATCGAGCGCTTAACATGAACCCTTCAAGCACAGGCAGACCGTACCTCCATTGTTGAATTGGATACCCTGAGATGGCTTGCCAGTGACAGGGATGAAATATTGCCCAGAATTGACACCACTGAAGCCAGGTTCCCAGCCGTGGTTGATGGGCTTTGCCGAATGATGACTGAGAGATTTCGTACCAAGGATGACACAGCTGCCTCAGTGGCATTGCCTACTATTATACTGAAACTCTAGGGGACAAAATGGTTACATGTATGGATTAGTAAAGTGAAGTCCTGAAAGGGAGAGTTATACATTCCACATTCTCTTAGTGAATATCATTCTGAGGTTTTCTGCTGCAATTGCAGGGTCTCTGGCTGGGACAGAAGTTCTGCTCAATATGGGCATCTATTTACTAAACAGTGTCTGTGACCTGGTCTTGGGGTCCTTCATTTTTGTGACTTGAGTTCTTCTGATTCTTGATTGTTTACTTCCTTCTTTCTGTCTGCCTTGTTGTAATACTTAAACCTTCCTAGGAGAGCATCAAGTGGAGGTGGCAGTACTGGACTGGAACTCAAGTGACCACGCTACACTGTTGTTACCAGAAAAACCACTGGTCCCTTGGTCTTTTGTTTTCTGATCTGTAAAAGGAGGTTGGTAAACCAGATGACCCTTAAGATCCATTGCAGTTCTGTCATTCTATATGGCTCTTACCTCTGCCTGACCCACTCCTGGCCCTGATTTCTGATATATGAACATCCCTACTTCTATTAAGCCCACTGGCTTCTGACTCACATTTGCACTTTGCTCTTTAATTCCCAGGCCTTCTGGATTTCTGAAGCCAACTTAGTTGCTGTTCTACCATCTATCATAGACCTCACTCCTCTGCAGCACCCCTTCCTGACAAAACCATCAACTGACCCTTTGAGCTGCCACCTTGACTCTGCCATCCATGCCTACATTCCCTGCCTTTACCAGTCTCATGTCACCTTTGCCCTCTGTATATTGGCCAATGGTACAAGTAGATATATTTGCCCTCCATCTAGCCATGCTCACGGGAAGATTCCCACTGTGAAACTCAAAACCAGGGCAGGTATACAAAGTGACAATGCCTCACCTTCTTCAGTTCTTCCAGCTGAGGAAGCAGGCAAGTCTCTCTGATGATCTGCCATCCAAAGGACTGGCACCTAGCTGTAATGTTTCCAGTGTAACCACTACTACAGGGCAATGTATATTCATCATTTTTATTTCCAAATCCAAAGAAAAGGCTGTTACATTGGGCTGAACAAGAATGAAAACAGAAAAGAAAAATGACTCTGCAATATCCTGAAATTCTATGTAATCCATATAGTACATTTAAATACTTTTGAAGTCATATTTTTAGAGATGAAACTCAGGTAAAATTCAGAAATAAGAGAGGTTTTTTTTAACTTTTAATTTTTTTATTTTAAAGATGTGGGGTACAATTCAGGGTGAGGTTTGTTTTTGATGCCCAGCTTCAATATCCTTGACTAGTTCCTGATACCACACCCTCCCAGAGGCTGGCTTCTCTCTTCATGTGTCTGATCTGTGCCAAAATACCACTTTTAACAGGCTATCAATTAGAAGTATTAGGTGAAAATAAGGCAGGAGATATTTTCACTCTTTAAAACAACATTAAAAAAAACCCAGAAAGTTTTCAAGATACTATTGTATAAAAGTATGGTAAAGACCCACAAAGGCTATGATTTTTGTTTTCCCTATTGTTGTGTTCTGAGTGTCTACACATTTTGGACACAATAAATATTTGTTGAATAAGTGTTGCTAAAATAAAGTGGCCCAAGTTTTGGTAGAAAATGTTTAAGACTGAATATAAAGAAGTAAAAGAAAAAGAAAAATATCTGAAGAAAAAAAACGGTGTGTGTGTGTGTGTGTGTGTGTGTGTGTGTGTTTCTCTGTTTTAAAAACATTGATAAGCATTCTTTCCTTGATTCTTTGGGCCATGATTTAGGAATACTGTCAGCCCCAGGGCTCTTTCGACATGTATACCAACAAATTATTGCTGAGTCATTTTCATCACAGCCTACAGTGAAATCAGTCTTCCGCGATGTTTACACTAAGAGGTGGAGATCAGATCTTCCATGAGCAAGAATTTGAAACAGTCAGCTAAAGCTGAGTTCATCACGCTGAGGAGAAAACAGTTGCCTGCTTTTACTGAAGGTCAGTTGACAACAATTCTTTATTGAAACATCTCCAGTCTAATTCCTGAAGACACAGATAAACTGCTAATAAAAGAATTCCCTTAGCCTAAACAGAGGATGGGAATCCAGTTTACCTTTTTCAAACACTCTGAAAGAGCTGTCTTCTAGAGGAAACAGCTTGTGAAGGGCCTCCTTGGCCATCTCTGCCACCTGTTCAATGGCTGTCAGCAGTTCAGATGCACTGCTGGAACCAACAACTTCATACCCAGTAATGATGCTTCCTTTCCTGTAATGATTGTGTGAAAAGAAGAATGAGATCCACTAGTCATTCATACAATCACTCAGGGTCCATTCTGTGCATGACATTTGGTTCATAGGAATAAACTAAACAGATCTGGTCTTTGCCTTTACAGAGTTTACATTTTCATGGAGAAGGCACGGTAAATGAGAAACAAGTAACCATTATATATATATATACTGTATATAATTACAGGGCCCTATGATAAATCAGGCTGGTCAGGGAAAGCTTTTCTGTGTGGAGGGTCTTTGAAGCTGAAGCTCAAAGGATGAGAAGAAACAATCAGTGATGCAAAGGGCATTCATTGGTGTCACGTGACAGTACAAGTAAATGTCCTGAGGCAGGAAAATGCCTGTAAGTTTGACAAACTTAAAGACTAGGATGACTAAAATTCAATTTGATTATTAAATTCTTGAACATCTTTTGATTTGGGCACGGGTGACTGAAAGACCAGGTCAGCTCAATTCCATTATAAAAGGTTTAGCTGCATGCCTCATGGGTTGGCTTTATTCTAAACTCTAAACTCTAGGTGATGAGTATTAGAGAAGTAGCCAATGGCCAGACCACATAGGACCTTAGAGCTGAAATGTTATTCTTTATTAAGAAGTTTTTGTTTTAAAAGGTAGTGGCATAATCAGATTTATTTTTAAGATCATCACTCTGGCTGCTATGCAGAAAAGCAGATGGAAGGAAGGCAGTCAGGGAATAGGGAGACTAGTTAGGGAAGAGCAGACTGTGGTTTGAACTAGTTGGGTAGCTGTGCACATAGAGAGATGTCGTCAGGTTCAGTTTGTATTTGAAGATAGAGCCATGGGACTTACTAATGGAGCAGATTTGGATGTAAGAGAAAGAACCCAGTTAACAATGACTCCAAAGAAGGGAAAAGCAAATTGTCATATAGTCATACAATGGAATACTACTGGGCAATTAAAAAGAAGGAACCACTGATACTCGGGAAAATAAGAATGAATCTCAAAGATGTTATGAGTGAAAGAAGCTAGAAACACAAAAAACTACATATTCAATGATTCCATATATATGAAGTTCTAGAACAGGAAAAACTTACCTACCAGGATAGAAATCAGATAAGCGATAGGTGTTTGTGTGTGTTGGTGGGAGGACAGAGAGATTGGCTGGAAAAAAGTAGAAGGGAACTTTGGGAGTGATGGAAATGGTTTGTCTTGATAAGAAAAGTCTTGGACAAGCATTTGTGGAAGCTGATTGAACTGCATGTTTAGGGTCTGAGCACATCCCTGCATGCAAATTATGCCTCAATAAAAGAAATTAAAACATGAGTTGGCTCCAAAGTGTGGGTCTATGCAACTGGAAGAATAGCGTCCCTGTAACTGAGGTAGAGAAGACAATGGGAAAAATAGGGTATAGGTTTGGAGGAGAAGAGTGGGAAAGTCCTCCAATTTGGACATGTGACATTTGGCATGCCTGCTTGAAAATTAAGTGGAGATGTCAAGTTGGTTATTTGTATCTGGAGTAGAGAGAAGAACCCAAGCTCCAGTAAGAAGCCATTAGCATGCAGATGTGTTTGAAACCATGAAAGTGAATGAGATCACATGTATTAATTAAGTTAATACTGCAATATCCAATGAGAAAAAGCATTATGTTAGTCCCATTTTATAGATAAGGGAACTGAGGTCCCAAGAGAAGTTGGATCAGGTGATTATTAATTAATGAATTGGAAACTCTGAAGCTCCAAAGCTCAAATTCTTAATCATTAAATTGAACTTCTATTCACACTATATAAATAAATGCAAATGAGCTTTTGTGTCATGAAGGTCATGATGCCTTTACATTGATGTGGCCCTTTTATTGTTGTCAAAGTATTTTCCTGCCTATCATTTCATGAGTTAATGAAGTCAAATCAGATACCACAGGCGTTAGCTGTCTTGTCTGGCAGATAAGTAAATTAAGACAGTGAGTGGTTGATATTTAAGTGAAATTATATATGTAAAAAGTAAAACTTTAACAGTTGCACATTATAGGTTTATTTTTACTGTGATTTTTGCCTACAAATTGTTGGAGACAGCTTGAAACAGATACATGATGGAATATAAGTTAGAAGTATAAGTAGAAAACCAGAACAAAGGAAAATAAAAATATAAACATAGAATACAAAAGTTGCTGTGATTGAATTTGAATTTTGTCTAAGGCCACTGACAGCAAAGTCAAAAAGGAAAATATAGTTAATTATATAAACTTCAATATAAAGAAGCAGTGTTTTTCCTAGCACTGAATTTTAAAGAAAATTACTCATTTGAGACTTTATAGAAAGACATGAGATGATTTAAAGGACAATGCCCGGGATAATATATTTATAGCAAATGCTGCTGAAAATTTCCTATAGCTGTGAAAATAAATGCAAAATGTCAAGTTCAATGACCTCTAACCAACTTCCTCTATCAGGAGACTATTAATAATTGGTAATTAATGCACACATGGCTAACTAACCAAATGACTTTTGGAATTAAAGCATAAACAAAAGGATAATTTACTAAATATCTCTTTATTTTCTGTAGACAATGGCAGTAGTTTTGAACTATGATAGCTACACAAAAACATAATGTTTTGCCCAAGGCTTCCCTTCTGACTCTGAATTATAAAATATCATGTCCCCTGTGGTTGTAGAAGGAGAAAGTTCACCTTTGTGCAACCCAATCCTTATCCACACTGCTCACCTCTTACCCCTTTTCATACAAATGCACCATAATTTCCATTTCTGCACTGCTACTGTGGTTTTGCAATTCTGCTCTCTGATCCACAGCTTTGAGAGTGTTTTTTAATATTTAAGGTCTAAACCCACTTAAATGAGCATCTCAGCTCTCCTCTTCAGACTTTTTTGGATGGAGGAGGATAGCAGGATTTATTGAGGGGACAGAAAATCTCCCAGAGCAGGAAGAAACGCAAGGGAGTTTCCCTCCTCTCCAGGCTTTTTAAAGCATCACAAACTCTAGTCTGGCTAGTGAGACCCTACTATAAAGAACAGTTCTGCCCTGTTTGCTGTCAAGGTCACCTGAAAACAGCACCCTTCATTCTGCAGGACTGGTGCACAATTCTGGGGAAGGCCTTCTAAGGCCATTGTGTTACTTACCGAAATTGAGTGACCTGAATCGACTCAAAACCTTGAATTCTTTTGTATACTTTTTTAAGCTTAGAAAGAGAACAAAGAGCAATGTGTTAATCTTTATTCCCACACTTCAGAAAGACATTTGAGCAAAAAGTAGATGCAGATAATAAATAAACCAAAAGTGGCAAATGAGCAAAGGAAAGAGACAATTGTAAGAAAGTAATTGCAGGTCATAAAAATACAATTAAAATAACGTTTGAGAATGTATATAACACATGCACAAACAGATGCACACACATATGTAACATTTATTTTTGAAGTTGTTAATGAAGATTGAATAACCAACCGCTTAAATAGGGAAAGAATTTGGTGCCAGATAATATCATAAACTCACCAAAAATCTATTTTTTCTTTATCAAAATGAGTCATTAATTTTCACAGTTACTTAAACTAAACCTGTCCATAAAGTATTTGCTCAGGTCTTCAGTCAGAACCACACCTGAGTCATTACTCTAGGCAGAGGTAAATGGATTTAGTTTTTACATGACTTAATTATAAAGTCCAGAGATTTGCTCAGTAACTCTCTTTATCCTTTTTTATGGAGCAAATCCCAAATGCTGACAATTAACTTTAGGTCATGAAGATTTTTTTTAAATAAATAAATAATAGAAAAGAGTAAAGAAGACAACATAATATTACTCAAATAAGTGAACAAAACTGAACTCAAGAAAAGTGGAAAGAAGTCAACTGCTCAAGTTTTCGAGTATGAAGAAACTCGGGGAATTTCAGTTGTGGGCAGAGCAAATAACTGCTCTGTAATAATAACTCATTGAAAATGATTAATTAATACTATATATTAAATATACATGCTGAGTTGAAGACACCTAGGCTTGAGTTCAGCAAACAATTCCTTATATAATAAGTAGAAAGTGCTTACTTGAATTTCAATTCCAGTTGCATATTTGGCGTATTGAGCAGAAGATGAATTCAAAAGGTCATTTATAAACCCTTCATTAATTTTGAAAGTGCCCCAAACCTCTACAGGAAATAAAAAGAAGTTTATAGATACAATAAATTCCTAACTTAATTTATTCATAGCATAAAATTATAGAAGTTCAATTCAGAGCACATCTATTCAATGGTGGTATTTCCATTTCTTTTCATTAAAAAGTGTTCACTTACAATAATCTGGGACTCATACAAGAAAACCACAACTCTCAGTTGTGGATTTGAAACAGTAACGGGAATGTTCTGGTCATCAAGACAACCTTACTTCTGGTACTCAAGTAGGTGAATGTGTGGCCACTCATGTTTGGCTAAAGAAAACAGCCACTGAACACTGAGATGTGTCCCCATCCAGGCAAGGAGCTTAAGCATTGTCACCATTGAAAATTTAAAACACAACAGAAACAGCAACACTACTTACTAACTCTAATATGTCTTTTGTTTACCCATTGCTGGCGCTTCTCTGCACTGGGACAGATCTCTGTATGAACAAATCCTATTAACCTTTATTCAGGACCCAATCAAATGTCAGCTGTTCTGTAAAGCCTTCCTGATCCCCAGATGCATATTCTGTCCCTCCTTTAAACACCTACAGTATTTTATTCACACCTCCCTCATAGCCTCTCATACCTTAGATATCTATTTGTGTACATGTTTAATCTATGCAAGTCCCACAATACAATAGGAAGCCCCTCATGAGTGTCATCTCTGTCTGATTCATCTTTGTATTTTTCAAAGATCTTTCAAAATACCGGCTTTCACCTTTCAAGAGACAGGCTTTTATCAATATTTGTCAAAGAAATTACATTGTTTTCTTGTACTACAGCCTAGCCTCCCCCACTCGTCTCTTAATCCATAGACAGCAAGAGAAACATCTCTTTGTGTCCTACTGGAATTTGCCCCAGATCTGGAGTAAACATGTTGCTTAATAAGTATGTGTTGCCATCACCTGAGCTGCTGTGGTCCTGGGAAGGGGAGTGAGGATGCCCAGTTCAGCTGGGCTGTTTCAAGTTCCTCTCTCACTCTTTGCTCAGCTCCAGCAAAATCTGGAACTTCAAGATAACTAGATCAGTCTTTGGGGACGCTTCTCCAAACCCTTCGTGTAGTTTTGTGGAGTCCCTGTCACTTGACTCAGTTCATCTCTCATCAAGCATAAATAAATTTAATTCAACAGTAGCTTCCTCAGCTTCCTCTGGTTGACTTTCAGATTTTGTTTTGTTTTAGAAATTCATGCAGCACACATATGTGTTGGCAATATAGAATATTTCTTTCCATATGCCCACTGCATGCTCCTTCCTGTATTCACATCTCTAAATGTCCTTTTTATTGGAATTGATGTTGGCGAAAGAGATGAAAAGAGGGTGGAAAGAAAAATGCTGCTTACTCAAGCAGTGTTGCTACTTGGGATTTGAGTGACTCTCCCTAAATCTCAATAGGAGCACACAATTACAGAGTTGAGCTGAATGAACCTACAGGTTGAAGTGACCTCCACATGTCAACTTGTGTTTCTGGATCTTCTGCACTATGAAGCTTTCACTGTGTCCAACCAGAACTAACAGAGTACATCGTCACTACCCTCCAAACTCCCTGTAAACTTAGCTCTCCTCAGCAAGGCAAAAAGTTAGAGTTTTCTCTCATGTTGCATGCCGGGGAGGGAGGGGCCCCAGCCCAGAGAATTCTTAGGTGCTTACTTGTTCTCTCGCAGAAATTGACACTCTGGTTCAGGTTGTTGAGATGACATTCACAGCTTGGAAGTGAGCCAATTGTGTGAAGGTAGCACTTCTGGGGATGAAGACATGAGGGTGGGAACCAGGTGTAGTCATCTTCACAGGCACACCAAAAGACCCCATTCCGGCTACTGCAGGCTGCACAAAACAAAACAAAACAAAAAAACAAAAACAGAAAAAAAAAACTTGGTCTTATGGAGTCTAGTTTATCAACTAACCACTGCTGAGTTCTGATCCTCAGCTCTGACATGGAATCTTAACCAAGTATTTGTCACCGGAAACCAGAAGAATGAAACCAGGATGGCAATATATTTATACAAAAAAATGTTCAACTCAATGGATTCTGAGGTTAGTGTCAGAAACCTAACATAAAACTGAAATGGCTGGAGTTAGCACCCAAAAGGAGGATGTATGCCCCATAGACATCCACTGCAATGGAAAAAAGAAGCAGAAGAAGAAGTTCATAACATGGAAGTTATTTAAAGAACTCTAGAGTGTAATCAGCCACTATCTTATTGGAGGCTTCCTTTCACCCACTGGCTGTCACTCTCAAATAGGCCCTATAAAAGCAGAGAGATATTTTTGAAAGAGTCATAATGAAAAGTTCCATCAGTCAGCAATCTTGTATGCTCATTCCCTTCTATAGCACCAGAAATTTCTACCAAAGTCATTCCTTTTTAATAAAAAAAAAAATAATGGGGCACAGTCACCACACTTCTTTGTGGAAATAGGTATAGTGGTGTGTAGTGAATGGTTCTCAAATTTACTATGCATCAGAATCACCCTGGAGTCTCTGATTTGGTAAGTCTGAGATAAACCAAAAATTTACATTTCTATTAAGTCCTTGCTGCTGGTGGTGGTGGTGATCTGCACACTGTGTAGTTGGGTATCACTGTTAGTCAAATGATTCAACTTTTCTGAACGCCATCTTTGCCAAATATTTCTTCTTCTCTTCCAGAAAAATAGGATTGCGTATACTATCTCCCTGAAGTTGGATGGGGCTACGGAGTCAGTTCTTGTCAATAAGTTGTGAGCAGAATTAGTGTGTGTCACTTCTGAACTAGAGAATTAAGGCCATGTGAAACTTGCCAGTGTTCCATTTGTTTCAGCTCAGAGTGGGTACATTTAACATAGGATCTTATTCATCAGCCTACTGACAATGACACTGCCAAACTGCAATGGACACGTAGCATGAGGAAGAAAGAAAACCTTTATTTTTTGAAGCCACAGAGATTGTGAGGATGGTTGTTTCCACAGAGTAACCTAACCTACCCTGAATGATACACCCACCTTCCCCATGTACGCTTCCAATCACCAGAAAGCTGACTTACATGTGGTAGCCTTTGCTCTGATAATCTTCATTGGCCCAGGTGACCACAATAATGGAGGCTTCAAGAGCTTCAGAAAACTCTTCAGATCTCTTTTCTCTTTGGGATCTCTATAAGTCACCTGAAGCAGTAGCTCATATTCCTGGACTGGACCTACAGTGAGAAAGAGAGTCAGAAACATCCTGGGAAATATTGAAGAAGTGATTAGGAAGCAATCTTCAAATTCAGTCTGAAGATCATGAACAATGCCATGCTGTTTGGTGCTGAGTTCTGCTCATACAGATATTGACTAATAATGAACATCCGGAGTAAACACAAGTAGATGAGTTCCACAGATCCCAAATATATGTCTTTCCTCACTTCTGCCAGGCCAGCTTCTCCTGTACTCTCTGTCCCACACTACTTCCTCAGACACAGCCAGGGTCAAGCTCCAGATGTGCAGAATGAAGGGAAAAGAGGTGACAAAATACTGGTCACTCTTCCCTTTCCCCCCCCCCCCCCAGTTCTGGTCCTTTCTAATTATCACTAGTGCAAAACTCCCAGTCTCACACTTTCTAAATATCCCTAACTTCTCTTGTAAAAATATTCCATTAGTTAGCTTAGTCTGGGCATTTCTATGAAATACAAAAGCAAAAGAAACCTTCACTTGAGGCTCTGTGCACCCTCCAGCCCATTATCTCTAAGCACTTTTTCTTTCCTCAAGGAGAAGTCATTAATTTGTTCTGACTGGGAGAGAAGATGAATTCTGTGAATCTTCTCTCACACAAAATTCATGTAGGCCCATTCATGTAAAACTTAGTATGAAACTTCCCAGGGGCTTCAAGCTCCTCTAAAGCTTAACCATAGAAGACTTGACATCTCACATTGAGCCCCTCAGTCCCATCTCTCTCTCTTTTCTTTTGAGTTGGAGTCTCACCCTGTCGCCCAGACTGGAGTGCAGTGGCCGCTCCCGACCACCACAGCCTCGACCTGCTGGGCTCCGGTGATCCTTCCGCCTCACCCTTACAAGTAGCTGGAACTACAGGCGCGTTCTACCACGCCTGGCTAATTTTTTGACTTATTGTAGAAATGAGGTCTCGCCAAGTTGCCCAGGCGGGTCTCAAACCCATTGCTCAGGCAATCCACTCACCTCAGCCTCCCAAGGCGCGGGATTACAGGCTGAGCCACCGAGCCCGGCTCAGTCCCATCTCTTATCTCCCCAACTCTTTACAGGCTGAAGCCTCTGCTCCAAGCTGGGGGTGTCCCTCTGAGTGGTAGGAGCTGAGGTGGTTCCCACTCCAACTACTTAAATAGGTGAGAGATGGGAAGAAGGGAAAAGGGTGGCCTTGTTCACACTGAACATTGTCAGGGGTTAATATTACTGGTTCTGGAGCCAGATGAACGGGTTTGAATTCTGGCTTCTGTTCCCAGATCTGTCCCTTAGTTTCACTATCTGTAAAATAAAGATGACCATTGTCCCTAACTCAGAGTCAGTATCAGGAGTAAATTCATCAAATGTACTTAAAATAGTACTTACATATAGTGACAGCACAATAAATATTTGCTGTATTATTATTGTCATTTTTACTGTCAGGGAAAATGTATTTATGATATTTGAAATTTTGATATCATTTTCCCTAAGAATTGTAGCTTTGCATCACGGTAGGTGCTATGGTATCACTAGCACATCATTGAATGGCAGGTTTATTACATGGTGGAAGAGCTTTTGTGAACTGACCCAGGAACCTAACTACCAACCATATGAGGAAATGCATTCCGCACTGGAAACATCAGACCCATGAATTAAATGTCAGAACCCAACTCGTTTCTAGATTGAGGTCTGGGTCCATTAATAACATTGTAAGGATCAAGGTGAAGAATAAAAGGAAGCATATAGTGAGCTACTTGCCAAGTATGGCACAAGACACTGTGCCTTATAGTATACTATTAATCCTCACAAATGTCTTTCTTGAGAATTACCATTGTTCTCATTGTACAGATTTGGGTGTTAAATAATATTCCTAAGACCATACAACCTTTCATAGGCACTGCTAGGATTAGAACCCTGGTCCCCTCACATCAAAGTCCCCTATATCACACCATCTAATGGAGTCTTACCTACATGCTTATTCTTATTCACAATGAGTTCTCTTTTTGTTTTGATGCCATCATTTCTCTGTTAAAAAGAAAAAAAATTAGTCATGGCGAAGCTGTGGAGAACTGTTCATTATAAGGTCTTGTTGGTAGAATTAAAATCACAGATCTAAAATCTAGTCAGGGACAGTGGAAAGATGGCCAAAAAAAGGCCTCACCAAGTCAACATTTGAGCAAACACCTCAAGGAAGTGAGGAAGCGACAATCTGGAGGAAGAGCGTTCCAGATGAGGAAAAGACCCAGGTCAGAAGGTGCCTGGCATGTGGAAGCAGAATGGAAACACCAGAGCAGCTGAGAGGAGTGAGGGAGGGTAGAGTAGAAGGCAGTGAGGACAGAGTGCCTCTGGGGAGGCAAGTTGTGTAGATCTTATAGGCCATGAAAAGGATCGTGACTTTAACATGAGTGAAGTGAGAAACCACTAGGGACTGAGGAAAAACAAGCTCTAACTTACTCTTTAGAAGGCTCAATCCTGAAGCCATGTTGAAACTAGACAAGCACAGAAACAGTGAGAGCATTTCAGGGGTTGATGAAGGGGTGGAGCAAGTAGCAGCTATGGAGGTAGTGAGAAGTTTTCAGATTCTGGATATATTTTAGAGAGAAAGCTAAAAAAATGATACTAATGGTTTAGATATGGAATATGAGAAGAGTAAGCATGATGGTAAGTTTTTTGACTAAGTAGCTGAGGAGACGATGGTAACGCTCACTGAGACAGGAAAGCAAGAGTGGGTTTGGTGAGAAAATATCATGAGTTTGATTTTGGACATAGGAAGTTGAGGGGCCTATTGGATGTCCCACTGGAAATAACAAGTAGGTAGTGGGTATGTGATGTGGCATGCAGGGGAGAGGTCTGAGATGGAGCTATGCATTTGGGAGTCATCAACTTGAAGAGAACATTAAAATGATGTTCCTGAATGAAAGCATCAAGAAAGTGAAGACAGTAAAGAGAAGGTCTGAGGATTGCTTAGACCACATGGAGAAAAGATCTAGGGACTGCTTAGACCAAATCAATCCATATGATTTTTTTTTGCACCCAAGAGGCCATAAGAGAAAGTGATGAACAAGAAAATATACCCAAGGTGGTTTAATCAAAGACCCTCCATTTTTCAGTTTGGACATCTAAGCTCCAAAGAGTCGAAATGACTTGCTTATTTAAAGTCACATAGTGAATGTTGAGAAATTAAATTATGTAGTTGCAATCATCAAGGGAGCAGGGGACTCTAAAAGTGCCAGAAGGAGAGAGGAGAGATGCTTGAGAAGAAAAATGGGACATATGCCACTCACCCCCAGAAGGCTATCATAGCCCTCAATGACAGTGAAGACAGAGATGAGCCACAACACTCCAACTCTCATCTTCTCTGAACTCAACACGAACAGCCAGGTGCAATAGTCTGGGACTAGACAAGCCATGTATCATGTGAGCTTAAGGCACAAAAACAAGTATTTAAAGCCAAAATTTAAAAATGCACACAGTGGAAGGGCCTGACTTAGCTGATCCCTGTTTGGTTATTTTTCCACTTAGCAGAGCCTGTGGCATCATTACTTCTGCTCCCATTGTAAAAGTAGTAAATTTCCATCTTTACCAATTTACTAGAAATTGCTCTAGAGCTTTCTTCCAGGTGATAAAATTGGACTAAACACAGGCTCCTTTGATTTGCAGCCGGGATCGGTGGCTCAGCCTGTAATCCCGCGTCTTGGGAGGCTGAGGTGAGTGGATTGCCTGAGCCCGCGGGTTTGAGACCCGCCTGGGCAACTTGGCGAGACCTCATCTCTACAATAAATCAAAAAACTAGCCGGGTGTGGTAGCGCGCGCCTGTAGTTCCAGCTACTCGGAAGGCTGAGGCGGAAGGATCGCCGGAGCCCAGCAGGTTGAGGCTGCGGTGGCCAGGAGTGGCCAGTGCACTCCAGTCTGGGCGACAGAGTGAGACTCCAACTCAAAATAAAAATAAAAATAAATACATAAAATAAAATAAAATCATGATTTACTTAACATCGCAGCAAGGTATATTTAACATCAGCCTTTTATATTTCACTGCGATTTCCTTTTCATCTCAGGTAAGTCAAGGATTAAAATAACCAGAGACCCTTAGAACCATTTACCAAGACAGACTTTGAGTTGTATTCATAAAAATAAATGAATCAATCCAGCAAATTTTCTTATTTACAGTAGATGTAATTAGCAACACAATATCTTCAAGCTTAGGTTATCTCAAATAATTTGGACAAAACTCAACATATAGACATGGCCACAAGATCAAACATTTATACCCAGGTTATTAGTGTCAAAGAAAAATCACAATAATTTAGAATTGTTCTACATAACACAGGAGGCCCTAACCTTGTGTGGCTATCTAAATTTCAATTAAAATAAAATTAGTGTTAAAATTCAATTCCTAGCCGGGCTCGGTGGCCTGTAATCTCGCGCCTTTGGGAGGCTGAGATGAGTGAATTGTCTGAGCCCGCGGGTTTGAGACCCGCCTGGGCAGTGAGACCTCATCTCTACAATAAATAAAAAAAAATCAGCCGGGCGTGGTAGCGCATGCCTGTAATTCCGGCTACTTGGAAGGCTGAGGCGGAAGGATTGCCGGAGCCTAGCAGGTCGAGGCTGCGGCGGCCAGGAGCGGCCACTGCACTCCAGTCTGGGCGACAGAGTGAGACTCCAACTCAAAAAATAAAAAATAAAAATAAATAAATAATTAAAATTCTATTCCTCAGTCATACTGGTCACATTTCGATCCTCAGTAGTTATTTGAGACTTGTGGCTGCCATGTTGGGAATGTAACACAGTTATGTCATTGCTAAAAGTTTTATTGAACAGTTTCATTAAAAGAACTTAAAGAATACTTCCCATGGCCTCTCAATATTTCTTTTACATCTCAGAAAAGTATGAAAAGTTTTAACTCCCACACTGGCAAGTCCTCCATTGGAATAAGTGTCCTTGGATGGCAGCACAGAGAACAGAGTTGGGTTCTCCGTACAAACCTTACCTTGCTTCCTGGGTATACCGTGAACCCCATACAAGTACTGCCTTTCTGCCAGTACTGCCTCGCACTCTGCTTTCTGATCAGAAGAGAAGAGTAGAGGCATTAAAGACAAGGGAAGAACTACCATAGGCATGGCCTGTGTTTCAGCAGAGACATTTTTTAGGGCTTTCTAAGAAACCATGAAAACTAGGCAAGGTGGCACACACAGCTTTTGAATTTACCTTCTCCTCTTGGATACATGTGTTTCTCATGCTACACCTTCCAATGTGCCAAAGATGACTCCTACATCTATCACTTTAAGCTTCTTTAGTCAGCTGCCTGGGCTCCAGATCATTCCTCAGGGTCTTGCTTCTCAAAGCTTATCTGCTCTGAGTCTTATTACCTTTGAACTGGGCTGTCTGTTTTCCAAAAGTGATGAATATTTGTCTCTAAAGCAGTGTTTTGCAAGCTTTTTGGTGAAGTTCCATGAAAAGAAACGTATGCTATAATATTCATATATATATGTACATATATTTATACACATACACACATTTTGTTATATATGTGTGTGCATATAGACATGTACATATACATAAAATGATTGAATTGTTTCATGAAACAGAATTTAATTCTTTCCTGAGATGTGTCCTTGGATATTTCTACTTGTTTTTATTTATTTTTATCAGTGAATTGCCATGTTCTACTAAAGCGATTTTCCAATATTCTCATGCAGTGCAGTCACACTGCAAAGGGAACTTGTGCCCTTTTCAGCCCCTTCCCATTTGTGTTCCATTTCCCAGGAAGATTTTCTTTTCATTTGAATTCCTGAGTACTGTTTAGACCATGATTTATAATGCTGGAGCTTTCAAATAGGAAAACAGTCTTGGTGCACTTGGGTGTAATCTAGATCTGTTCTCTCTCGTTGTGCCAGGGCCTGGACCCTGGCAGGTTCTCTCATTCTCATTCTCTCTCTCTGTCTCTCTCTCATTCTTTCTTTCCCTCTCTTTCTCTGAAAAATCTTCCCTCTCCCCGTGTAGTCCAGGTCTGAGGCTGCAAAGCCAGCTCAAAAAGGCCTGGCGACAGCTCTGGGCATTTTGGAAAGCCTTCTCTCAGCCTCTTCATTACCTTTTCCTCCCACAGTGGAAGTACATGTTCAGCTACCTCCTCGGACTCGCTAGAAATGGTAAACTCTAACTTACAGTTAGAGTTTCACACCAGTGATCTCTAGTCACTGATTTTTAGCTCAATCATAGATGGACTACAAAAAAAAGAGGAGGGAAGAGAAGGAAGAAAAGGAGAAAGAGGAAGAGGATGAAGGGGAGAATGAGAAGAAAAAGAAACATTTAGGCGCTCAGGTGTCCCCATCCCACCCTAAACCTACTAAATCTTATACAGTTCAGGCCCAGTCATGAGTATTACTAAAGCTATACAAGTAATACTCATATCCAGACTGACTTGAGAGCTAGTATTCTAGACTGTTTCTAGGTTAGGAAAAAGATGTCTGTACCTATCCTTGTCTTGTGATAGGAATTCGACCTTGGGGCTTAAAACCAAAGCTTAAACTAATTAAAATTAGTTTTTTACTTCTTTGGTTCATACAGTTTTTGCTGGGATAGGGTTGAAAGATTTAGCAAATTAAAATACAAGATACGCACAAATTTGAATTTGAAATAAATAATGATTTTTTCATTTTCATTTTCATTTTTTTTTAGTTGGAATCTCACTCTGTCACCCAGGCTGGAGTGCAGTGGCACGCTCACGGCTACCACAGCCTCAACCTGCTGGACTTAGGTGATCCTTCCACCTCAACCTTCCAAGTAGCTGGAACCACAGGCATGTGCCACCATGCTTGAATGATTTTTTAAAATTTATTGTGGAGACGAGATCTCATCTTATTGTTCAGGCTGGTCTTGAACCCCTGAGCTGATTATTAAAAAATTCAGCTCAGCTCTTCTTGCCTCCGCCTCCCAAAGTGCTGAGATTATAGACGTGAACCATCATGCCTGGCTGATTTTTTTAGTATCAGTATACCCATACAATCTTTGGGAGATTATTTGTGGTCTAAAATTATTTGTTTATCTGAAATTCAAATTTAACTGTGCATCTTATACTTAACAAGCAGTCAAAGGTAGGAAAATGTTATCTCAATAAACATGGATCAAAAGAGCCGCTATAGCTAGACTGCCCAGGATTCAGGCTTCAGTTTTGACATTTATAAACAAGGATACCTTGTGGCATTTTCTCGGGCTTTCTATACTTTAGCTTACTCATGTATAAGATGGGGAAATAGTATCTAATTTCTAGGTTCTTAAGTTAAGTACTTTGCAAATAAAGTAACCAGAGTAGCACCTAGTGTTTCGATCTTAACCACCAGTTTTTATAGTTACCTCTTTGATTTCGTGAGAATTGAACTTCAATCCTCAGTCAAGTTAGCATATCAAAGAAAAAGTGCTCCTATGTTGATTGACAGCCACCACTGAAGAAATGGAGGGATCCCAACTTCAAGTCAATAAAAGTACATTTTTACAGTAATTGAATTACTGGATTCCAAGAAGGGTCCTCGCTAGTGTACAGGATAATCATAAACCTCACTGAGCTCTGCCTTAGGAAACATAAAGCCCCTGGTATTCCCTCACTTCACTTCCAAGCCCAAGTGGTCCTGATTATTTAAAAATTCTCAGAATCTTTGTGTCCTTGCCACAGATGAGGAGCTGTTGTTGTCATTAGAGTATGGCATGTTTATATCACACCTTGGAGGCCAGCAATGCCTGACCCACAGTTTGTGTTGGCACTAGCTTCTGTAGGAAGGCTTGGCTGTGCTGGGAACTCCCCCTCCACTTCCTTGAATTCATTCAAGCGAAGTCATTCCTGATAATCTCTGTCCTTCAGTTTACAGGGAACAATCATTAGAACTGGCTGTTATACCTCTGGAGAGGGCTGGCTATCATTTCCCTATTCTTTTGGTTATATATTTATGGACTCCAAATATCATTTATTTATGTCAACAGCTGTCTCCTTATCAACAGTGGTGCTTAGTTGAAACTAATCACAATTACACTTTCCAGCATTCATAGCAAAAGTCTAATCTTAGGCACAGTTGAACTCTGAGCTGCTTTTCTGGCATCAATATTTATGGGATTATGTTTCTTTCTCCATAAATAGAAGAATTCCCAATAGAGTTGTCTCCTTCCTCTTTGACTTAGATTCACATGTGCACGTGTGCACACACACATAATAGAAAGAGCAGGTCTCCACATGGCAGCTAAAAGAGCATCTGACTCAGAATTAGGCAGAAAACCTGTAAAATCTTGGTATTATTTTTGCCTCTCATTTTGTAAGTTTTTGGTAACATTTTTATTGGGATTTGACTTTATGTGAAAATTCTTAATCTGCTTGCCTTTGAGAAGATTTCTGTAAGGAACACAGAAGATGTA